TAGCACACTAATTTGTAAGCCATTTCCAACTACATGCAAATATATTTGGTTCTGATTTCTGTCTATGGAGAGTGCCATTTTCTTAGTTAGAAGAACTATAAGAATTATACTTTTGGGAAAACTCAAGCTCATTAACACGTGTGTTTATCTCGGTAAAGTAAAGAATAATCCACTGGAGAGGTAACTAGTTCTTACTCCTTTATTTCTCTCACAATTGATGGAATTCCTCCTCTGGTTCATCACTGGAGAGAAAAGCTTCCGGGTACTAGTACACGCTCAGGTTCCACACCAGACCTACTGAACTAGAACAGAATCTGCATTTTTAAGAACCACAGGTGATTTGTAAACACTGGAAACATTAATCTAGACTAATGGGTGATCCGAAAAGTCAATACATTATATACCTATCAAACATTTCCTAAAGAGCGTTCAAAGTGGATATGGATACTCTTGGGAGTTTATCTAGTGAACAGCAGTTAAAATAATCCAAAAGTCTTATCTGAATAAATGTATGAATCCACAGGTTTAAAACAGAATACAAACTTTTAGCTTTCATTCATTCATTTTTATTCCAAGTTCTACTTGGATACAACAAAGGCTTCATTAAGTAAAATTTTTTCTACAATTTCAGAAGTCAGGGTAATTGTTTTACCTTTATCAAAAGCAGTCTAGAATATTTCAGTAGAGTTAACAGATACCTTAATTCTGACAGAATAGCACTTACTACATAGCATCTTACACCAAGAAAAACCATTAAGACAAATTACTTCAGAGAAATTAGGACCTTTACTAAAGGCCTAATTCGATTGTTGTACCTAAATCTGGAACTTTCTATGTATTTTAACAGGGCCATAGTTGAGCGTAACACAAACTGATCTCCTTACAATTTGACACAATAAACATTATTTAGACAAGCACAAAACTTTCTACTTCTTCCTGTCTTTTACTTATTAGGCAGGCCCCGAAGTCTTCTTGAAGCAATCCCCAGCCCTTTCAATATCAACTACATGTAAACCCAAGACAAACTCTTATTCTTTAAACTTGGTAAGAGCCCTAATTTTAAATCTCCAGGTTTTATAATTATGTTGCTTTAAGACAACTTCCAAATTAATTTTACTTAACAATGACTGTCAATCTAACTAACTCAAAACCCCCAAAGCACCAATGATGTAAACAGTAACTAGAAAATCTTATCACTGGCAAGGACCATGAAAGCAGATTAAAAACTGTATACATCACCCAGAAAATCTATTTGAGTTCCTGATTCAAGTATCAGACTGATTAGGTAAAAATTTTACCGTTCATTTAAAAACATTTTTAAAAACTTACTGCACAATTTAGAACCTTGATTCCATGCATATAATGTATTCTGAAAGTAAATTCAACCAGTATGTTTAAAGTCAGGAAAAAATAATTTAAAATATCAAAATAGAATGAATGCATCAAACTCGAATGAACACTAGTTTTAACCGAGGTGAACTCCTCTCCCCACACCCATGCGAGCTGGAGGTTTCAATTGGCAAGGACTCCCAACTCCTGTTTAAGATGTCACCTTGCCTTCTGGACACACCCATCGCTGTAACCACTTGGCAGACGGAAACACAAAATAGGTATTGCAAATTACCGCCCTCATTAGATTTTTTTTTTTCTTAAACAGGAAAAAAAACCAGGAGTTCCGGTCTCAACTGATGCCAGGAAAATGCTTTTGAAAAATCCCCTGCTCCCCCTGCCCCCCCCCCCCCGGGTACACCTTCCTTCACTACAGTATTTGACAGCCACTACTGTGCAAATGCATTGGACGGCATGTAACCATGGTCTAGCATTTTCTATACGGAAATACGACTCCCTTTCCACGGAGCTGGAGCGGGGGCAAGGCTGTGGTTGTGGTTAGCATTAGGAGTGCACGTGAGTCCTCCACTGAATACAGCCGCTGCTTACGGGAGGATAAAAGCCAGTCGCGCCGAAGCCTGCCTTCGGTGAGCGACGAGCGCCTTCCAGACCCAAGCCGGAGCAGAGGGCTGTAACAAGACGCGCACCGAGGATGCGCCAGACTTCAGGTATAAAAGCTCATTCCCTTCAACCAACGACGGAGCCGCTTACGATAAATTTGTTGTTCAGTGTCCAGCCCGGGGAGCAGGAAAAGGCCCCAGAAGGAGTGGGGAAGATTCAGGATAAACCGGGCTGCCTTCTCGCCACCCGGAGGGGGGGAAGGGGGGATGGGAACCTGCCAGGCCGCCCTCCCCCCCACCCCATCCCCAACCGGCTGGCCCCGCCGCGCCGCGCCGCCGCGACCTCCGCAGCCCTGCAGGTGCCAGCGCAGCAGCTGGGGCGCGAGCCGAACGGGCGGCGGCCCCGGCCACGCCGCCCCGCCCCCCCCCCCGGCCGCTCCCCGCGCCGCGCGGGCTCGGCCTACACAGCGCGCCGCGCCCGCTCGCGCGCCCCCCGCCCCCCCACCCGGCACGCGGGGGATGCGGGCTAACGGCGGCGCTGGCGCTCGCCCCGGGCCTCGCGCTCCCTCCCGCCCCCTCGGCGCATGGCGGCCGCGAGCGGACAAAGGCGCTTCCTGGCGCCAGCACTAACCGTCCGTTGGGCTTTTGAATCCGGCCCCGGCACTGACCTTTCGAGACGCCGGACCCGAGGCGTTTGCCCGCCCGCTCTCCCGCGCCCTTCCACTCTCCCGTCTGCACCATGTGCTGGGCCGCCCCCCGCCCGGAACCACCCGCCGCCTCACCCCGCCAAGCCCCTGAGGAGCTCCGCCGCCTCGTGGGCAACGCTCCCGGCCCCCACAGCACTAGAGCGCTCCTCCCTGAGGACGACGACGATGGGGGAGCACCTGCGACGCAACCGCCGCGGCGCCCCCAGTCTCTTTCGCGCCATCCTGCCGGCGAAGACCACTCCGGAAGGGGGTGGGGGGAGCAACATACCCCCCCCTAACAAATTTACTTCAGCCTCGTCCCCCCTCAGGCCGAGCGCCGGCAGCTCAGCGGCGCACTCACCATGCTGCAAGCGCTACCGGTCTCCAAGACGCGACCACACGACCAGTCAGCTCGCTCGCCCCACTCGGACTAATTCTCCTCCTCCGCCCCCAGCGCCTCATAAACGCCTCCCTCCGCCAGATCCCTCCGCCGCATGCCAGATAACGGAACGGCGCAAACGAGTCCCGGCTAAGCCCCCTCCTCTCTAGCTCGGCTCGGACTCCTCTCTCCACTGCTACTGACTCGACGAAGCAAAAGAGAAAGGGAAGTGGGCGAGCGGATGACGTAAGTGGGTTTCACTGCTCCGCGAGCCCGTGTACAGGCCGGTGGAGTCGCGCCCGAGGGGCGCTACTTTGCGGCGCGGAGGAGCATCATAGTGGCGGCTCGTGGCCGATGCTCGTTGAGTCGGCCTCTGATTGGCTGGTTCGTACCTGCAATGCGTCACTCGGGGCTCGCAGCCGCCGCCGGGACGCGCGGTGCGGCTTCTGCCGTTGCTGCTCAGGCCGCGCTGTCCTGGCAACTGCGCGGGCGGCGGAGTCGCTTCCCCTGCGCCTGGCCGGGGAACCTTTCTCCTCCACCCATGCTTCCCTCCCACACTCACACACACACGCTTTCCCGCCTCTCCCTGGTACAGGCGGAGGCGAGAACACCTCAGGCGGATAGAGAACGACGCCGAAAGACCCCGGAAACCTGTACCCCGCGCCCAGCCTCCCCGCCTCGTGGAGGCCACACATTTTTCAATTTTACTCCCTCACAAAACCCCATAAAAACCTAGGTAAGGAAAATGCAGCTGCTTAGCTGCGAGACGAACCCAAAAGGGCTCTCCTTATCTTACGAGGGGTGCTTTCCCGGAAAAGTCCCTCAGAAACCACGGCACCAGGGATTCCGTGGGATCAGTTACCGCCCCAATAGCCTTTTGGTGTCGTGGATTAACAGGGTCCTCGTTTGGAGTCAGACCTGGGTGCAAGTGTTGGTTGGTCCACTTTCTTGGATGTGTGACCTTGGATGAGTCCTCTCGAGCCTCATAAAATGGAGGTGATAATACTTCTCTGAAAAGGTCTTTGTAAGGATTAAAATGATATAAATTTTAGAGTTAATGTGAAACGTTCAAGTATCTGGCTCAAGGTAGGTACCCAACAAGCGATGGACCCTGTAATAAATTGGCCCTTTCGGGTCTCTGACCGCTCAGATTTAAGTGGACGTTTAAAAGACATGTTCAAGAGTCAGCTCCTTGGAACTGGAACCCGTGTGCGCGCTGTTGGTGGGAATGTGAAATGTGAAATTCACTTAACGAGAATGAAAAATTAAAAGACAATCACCATATGATGCGATAATTCCAATTCTAGGTATGTACCCAGAAGAACCGAAAGCAAGATCTTGAAGAGATGTTGATATGCCTATTCTCAAGGCTGTGTTATTCGATATAGCTAAAACTTGGAAGCAACCCAAATGTCCGTCAGTAGATAAATGGATGAGCAAAATGTGGCATATACATACTTAAGAATATCATTCAGCCTCAAAAAAGGAAATTCTACAGGGTGTTGCAACATGGATGAACCTGAGGACATTATGTGGTAAGTGACATAAACTAGTCACAAAAAGATAAAGATATTGTATAATTCCATTTATGTGGGGTACTTAGAGTAATTAAAATCAGAGACAGTAGTTTACCAGGGATTTTTCAGTAGATTATTAGATAAGATAGTGGTTACCAGAGGGTGGAGCAGGGGGAATGGGGAGTTACTGTTTAGAGGGTATGGAGTTTCTTAGGAGGGTGGATGGTGGAGATGTTTACACATTTTGAATGTGCTTGATATCACTGAACTGTGCACTTGAAAATGGCTAAGATGGTCAGTTTTATGTGTACTTTATCACACATATGCATTTTTTTTTAATTAGCTCTTTGGTCCCACCCCAAATAAGCAAGGGTATGCATAACTTGAAATATTTAACAAGCCGATTGTGAACACCTACTGTATGAATTTGATTTTGACTACAATGTAATTGTTACCATAGAGGGAGCTTACAAGCCACAGAAGTTCCAGAAGGATTTCTAAAGAAGATAACTCCTAAACTGAATCTGATACAATAAATGACCTAGGAAACAAGCAAAAGGTAAGGAGGAAGAGAGAAGCAAATTCCAGGTGGAAGGAAGAACAGAGCAGAGGCCCAAAGACATGCGATTGCATGTCATGATGGAGGAGCTGTCAGTGATTTTAGGCATTACTAGAGACAGCCAAACACAGGAGAGGGTTTCTGGGAAGTTAGAAAGGAGCTAGGGTTTAATGCTCAAACTGCAGTTCCTCAAGAAGGTTGTTGGTAGAACTAGTGTCCAGAAAGAATCATCTTGGGCTACAGTAGCCTTAAAATTTCTCAGTAAAAAGCATTGGCTTGTGGAGCCTTGAAATGTAAGCCAGCAGGATTTTTAGCAGGCTAATGTGAAATCTTGCCTGCTGAGAAGGTTGCCCAGCAAGACCAAGATATTCTGTAACTGCTATCTGCACATACTTGGAAAGCTTCAGTGGAATTTAACCTCTTTTAGCCTATTTAGACATTTCTTCATACCATTGAAAGTATTTACTAGGCCAGGAATGGATCCTCTCTTTCAGTCATGCAAACCAGACATAAAGTAAGTACTCTTTCAATTAGTATTGGCAGCGCTGTGACCTTCCTTTCAGTTGAATGACTCTTTAATGAAAACTCAGGACCCTGGATGCCTGGGTGGCTCAAGTGGTTGGGTGTTTGCCTTTGACTCAGTGCATGATCCTGGGGTCCTGGGATTGGGTCCTGCATTGGTCTCCCTGTATGGAGTCTGCTTCTCCCTCTGCTTCTCTCTCTGTGTCTCTCATGAATAAATAAATAAAATCTTAAAAAAAGAAAGAAAAAAAAAAGAAAAGAAAGAACTCAGGACCCTCATGCTTCTATTGTCCTTACTAATAATACTGTAATGAGGCGGGGTCAGGGGAGGTAATTAGCTTTATCTCACAAATGAAATACCATTTAGAATATTAATTGTAGGTACCTCTGCTTCAGAATCTAAGCTGGAGACAAGAGCCCTAAGGCCATAGTTCCACTACTCTGTGTTCTGGTAGCTCCCAAGTCTTTCCAAGGTATTTCTCAGAAATTTGTCTATGATTCCTCCTCTGATGGAAGAGCCATCAACAATCTTTTCTCTCAGTCACTAAAAATATTCTCTCTTCACACAGTACCCCATCAGTATGCATAATTTTACATATAAAATTTTTAATGATAGGAAATTGAATGACAAAATGAATAATCACCTCTTCTAGAAAATGAATTTTTAAAAGGATTGATGTGTAACGTATAACAAGCACAAGCTTAAGTCTAACATACAAGTGCGTGCTTAGCATGGTATGTATTGAATCAAGCTTTTAAACAAATATTTGGTAATGAAATATGCCTGTTAAAGAGACTACAGGAAAGTTCTTGGTTTCTAGGCTGAATTTCAGTAAGCCTCTCTTGTAGAAACTTCCTTGCTGACCTCTCCAAGATGAGGAAAAAATGAGAAAAAAGTCAAGACTTACATTTAAAGCCATTGTGGTTTATGTGTATTTGAGACTGTTCCAAGTCAATTTATTTATAGAGCATTTGTCTTCTACAAGATGACATACAGTGCAGCCTGAACTTTGGCAATTGCCAGCTGAGAAGCAAAGTTGATGACAGGCACCACACCACAGCCTAGGAGGTGGTTGGTTGTCTTTCTGTTTCCCTCTCTTGACTAGTGAGGTCTCACAGGTTTCTACCTTTGTCCACCTTGGGAAAATGAGAATGTGCTTCCTCTCCAGGCCTCAGTTACTCATTTTGCAGAATACAGATAACACAAGTCCTATCCTTTGAGACTTCCTTCCCATAGCTTCTTTCCTCTAGCCAGCTGTCCTAATCAGCAAGGACAGAGGACGATCAGACTGGCATTCTTGATTGTAGGGCCTGTGTGACTCTTGACAGGTGAAAGAATTAAGCCCTAAATACCCTAAGGCATCAACAATTTGCTCAACCTCTCTCTTACTCGAATGGCAATTTGTTGTGTGTCAATTTTGAGAGAATGGAGAAACCAGTGCTCAAATCATTTTCTTGTTCTGTGGATCAGGTAAGGAGCCCTAGTAGAGAAAGTGAAGCTTTCCTTTTCTAGGATTATGGGGCAAAACAGAGCTGGGACAGGAATCCAACCAGGTCATGAGAATGTCTTGCCCACAGCATTCTCAATAAGGGGTGAAAAGAATATGGAAAGAACATCCTGCATGGGCTTACACTCATATAATCACAGGAAAGATTGAGGGTCATTAGCTTTGATATTGACATTCTGCCTTTTATTCATTTATTCCCTCAAAAAAATTGAGATGTCATTTTAGGGTGACCATCCACATTTGTCCAAAACTGAAAGGTTTCCTGGGACCCAGGACTTTCAGTGCTAAACCACACAGTCCCAGGCAAACCAGGGTGATTGGCCACCTGAGAAGCTGTTACCACTCAATAAATACCAATAAATCAATAAATACCAATAGCCTATTATTTGCTAATGTGCAATGATAAGAATGAGCATAGGAGACCATGGGAGCATGTAGGAGGACAACCTAATAGGCAAAGGGAGGACTTCCTAGAGAATGTGATCCATAGCAATTTGAGTAGAGTCGGAGAATAAGGAAAAGGTGTTTGAGGCAGAGAAAAGAAGCACAGAGGAACAGAAATACCATTGTCACCTCTATCATCGACATCATTATTATAGCACATTCACAGCCACTGGTGAGTGGGTGCTCACCATGGGCTAGGCACTGTGCTGATCACTTTACATATATTGTTCATATCGTTGACCATTCCATTCCTCTTGAAACACTCTTCTCACTTGGCTTTGGGAACAACCCCTTGCAAGTACTTCTCCTACCTCTCTGGCAGTTTCTCTCAAGCTCCTTGGCTGTTGCTGGAATGCCTCAGGATTAAGCCATGGCTCTCTTGCTTGTGACTTTTGACACCTGCCCTGAACAAACTCCCCACTCCCATAGCATTGGCTCTGTGCCAATGACCTCTAAATATGGATGGCAAGATGTAAAGTCTTCCTAAACTCCTGGTCTGTATTTCCAGCCACTCAGGCCACCTGTGGGTTCAGTCAAGAGTATAAACTGAGAATTATATAGCATATGTTATATATGTAAAAGTTGTGAATCAAGCTAACAAACAAATATCTTCTGTTATCTTGACAGATAAACTTTCATAACTTGACAAACTTTCATAACAACCTGGATGGCCATGGCCAATTTTAGAACCTTGAACTTACACACCAAATTGTGGAAGTATAAGGAAGCCATCCTCAAACCCATCCTCAAACCCACAGCCCACCCATTTCTCTTCTCAACCCCAGCTCCATCTGTACTGTTGAGAGGTCTTACATTCACCTGTGTGGACACAAGCATAGTAGTGAGTAGGCTCCATCAACAGCCCCACTGTTGTCCATCCCTCAGGACCTAGAGACATGCACCCTTAAGAGACAGAGTTCTCTGGAGAGTGGATCTGAGAGAGAAGCCTACATAGGCCCTGGAAGCAGCCTCAGTGCTATATGAGCAAGGGACATAGAGTAGTCTTAAAGGAGTGGGGGGATGTGGGCTCTAGGTAGGACATCCCCATGGCCCTTTGTGTAGATGTACATCTGAAAGAGGGCCACAACCAGCCTCTCTAAAGTGAGGCTAGGTCAGGGCCCTGTCCTGCAGTCCTGAAAATGCTTACTGGCAAATCCTCATGGAAGTCCTTAGGCCCTAAAAGCACATCAAAACTGAACTTCTCATATTTTCACCCCAACCTGCTCTCCTCTATTCTGGCTTCATTGAAAAGCACCTCCCTTCATGATGTCACCCAAGCCACGCTGAACAACTTGCAGATATCTGCGTGCACTACACTGTTTTTCCAGTCCTTGTCATTCCTCTTGCTGCTCCTTCTGCCTACAACATTTTTCTTCCCTTTCCCACTGCCTACTGCACATCCACTTATCCTTGGCCCAAACATCATATTCCCTGTGATGTCTTCCTAGCCCACTCACCCTCTCCCCTTGGTCCATGGAGAAATAATCACTCTCACTCAAAATATCCTTATAACACCTTATGGTACTATATCCTTATAGGTTAGTGGCACCAACTACACTGAGTCCCTTGAGGGACTGTAATTATGTTTTCACCCTTACCGTACTTGGTGACACAGTTGATGCCCAGTAAATTTTGTCAAATGAATAAGTGGATGAATGGACAAGGATATTATCATTTTGCACATGCCTTCTTCACACATTTTTAAACAAAGAAGACTATTGCAAAGCGTGAGTTGTCTTACAAATTATAAAAAGGGAGAAAGTGGCCAGCAGGACAATTCTCATCTTCTAATGTAAGTCATTATTTAAATCAATTTGAAAATACTAAATATATATTTAAGCAAATGTAATTTTCATCTTCCTTGAGATTTTTTTGTGTCATTGTATAATAATTGTTTATACAATTTTTAAATTGTATTTTTTCTCATCTTATTTAAGGAATTTGTTCTTCACTCTACATTAGGCTTGATGAAATAGGAATTAAAGCAATTAACCACCACATAATTAAGCTAAAAAAAATTATGCTTTCAACTGTGAATGGTTTCACAGAAAATGGGTGATTTATGTCATGGTTGGTACTGTACTGGCAGCATGGGGGCCTACATGGAGGTATGAATTCTCTGCAACCTCAAAATTTTAACCTCAAGTTTTAATTTCATTTTCTTCATCCTGGCTTGGTTTGTGATTATCTTTTGGTTTATAAAATCAGGATTCCCCAGCCTCAAGACTCTAAAGTGGGCACTATTGGGGTCCTCTCTTCCCTTCTTCACAGTGTCCAATTCCCCACCTAACTATCTAGCCAATAATTCTAGGTTCTGCTCATAGAACTTGGAGTAAACCATTGTCTGCTTTGAAAAAATATTTCCAAATGTTCTAAACTTAACTAGCTACCTGCATTCTTTCTTTCCTTCATTTCCTACATATCAATTTTCTTTATGGTGTGCTCTGAATCATACTGTCTGCTATATCTTCCATGAAATTCTTGGTAACAACTTCAGTTTGGAAGCCCATCTGCCATTTTGCTCTCTGTTTGCGATTCACTGACCTCTCTTCTGTAGAGAAATCAGAAACCAGGGCCGGCCGGTCTGTAAAGAAGACTCGCAGCTCCATGTGGCTATGGAATCAGATGCACCCTATGAGAACTTGATTAGAAAGTTACGGATTAGTATCTGGATTTGCTAAATTCTTCATGTCATTTGTTGTGCCCTGAAATCATATTAATAATGAAAGTATACTTTCTGGGGAAATAGTCACCTCTTGTGACTTTCCAAGGTCTTTCCTGGAAGGAAGGAGGTCAGCTTCCCCTCTGCATGGGAAAATGGGGGTTGCATTAGGGAAAATATCTTCTTTATTTTACTGCCACATTCCCACTTTCACTGGTTCCAAAGTAATAAGAGTCACAACCCCTGCTATTCATGTGGGGGCTGGGGGAGACCCAGATGTGCCCCTATTTCAATTACAAGACTGATTAAGCATAAAAGAACTGCTTTTTTTTTTAACTGCCAAACATTTCCTCAGAAATTTAGTTCTCTATTTTGAAAAATTTCAAATGTACAGAAAAGTTGAAAGAATGGTACAAACTATTCTTATACTATCCAGTTTGAGTCAACAATGTCTAGCGTTTGCCACGTTTGCTTTTTCTCCCTCTCCACACATATACACATACACTAATCTACAAATTATTTTTTTAAAGAGTTTATTTATTTATTTGATAGTGAAAGAGTGAGAGAGCATGTAGGGGGAGGGCCAAAGGGAGAGAGAGAAGCAGACTACCCACTGAGCAGGGAGCCCAATGTGGGACTCGATTCCAGGACCCCAGGATCATGACCTGAGCCGAAGGCAGATGCTTAATGACTGAGCCACCTAGGCTCATAAATACAAATTATTTTTGGATGAAATATTTGAAAGAAAGTTACAGGCATCATACTTCAGCCCTGAATTTCAGCATATCTCTCCTATGAATAAGGATATTCTCCTAAAAAACCACAATACTGTTACCACACTTAAAAAATTCTGTACTATCTTTGATCCAGCATATACTTAAATTTCTGTTTCCAAAATGATTTTATAGTTGTTTTATTTTTTCTAACTGGGATCTGACAGGGGTTATCAGATTACAAGATTACAATCTTTGCAGGATTACATCTTTTTAGACTTCTAATTTTAATTTAGATAGTTCCCCTACCTTTGTTGTTCATGACATTGATATTTTGAAGGATCTAGAACAATTTTCTTTTACAATGTCCATATTCTGGATTTGTCTGCTTGCTTTCTCATAGTATTATTTAACATGATGCTCTATCCCCTGTATTTCCTATAAACTAGAATTTAGGACTAAAGACTTGACAAGATTCTGGTTGAAGACTTTTAGCAAAAATATTGCATAGGCAGGGGCACCTGTGTGACTCAGTTTGGTTAAGCATCTGCCTTCTGCTTGGGTCATGATCCCAGGGTCCTGGGATAGAGCCCCACCTTGGGCTCTCTGCTCAGTGGGGAGCCTGCTTCTCCCTCTGCCTACCACTTCCCCTACTTGTACTCTATCCCTCTCTCTATCTCTCTGTGTCAAATAAATAAAATCTTAAAAAAATAATTCTCAGCCAATGTTGCGTATTTTATACTATATCATCTCAAGAGCCATTATTCCATTCTTAGTGATGATAAATTCGATCACTTAGTTAAGATGCCATCTACCAGACCTCACCATTTTAAGGTGTGTTTTCCATGTTTAATTGATAAGTAACCTGTGGGGCAATACTCTCCTAGCATGTAAGTATCCTTTCTCTAGCAGCTCTTCACCTAGCAATTTTATCATGCGTCAATAATCATTGTCTGATAATATAGTTACATTGAGGGTTGCAAATGGTTTTTCTAATTCTGTGATCCCTTCCATATGTATTAGCCATACTCTTTTTTGCAAAAAAAAAAACAAAAACAAAAAACAAAAAAAGGCTCCCTTCCTCCCCTCTTCTCTCTTTTTCTGAGCATTACTATTAATGTGGGTTTTTTTTTTTTTTCAGTGTACTATAATCAGTTACATTTATTTTAGGTTTAGGTGCTCAGGTTGTCCCAAACTTAGCCAGTATTTGCTGTTCAGTCCAGTTCTTATATTTCTTTGATCGATCTCCATTAGTTTTTGAGTAGTTTGTTGCTTTCTGACACAAAATATTCCCAGCTTACCTTCTACTCTACTCTCTCTGCCTGGATCTAGAATCAGCCATTTTATTCAAGAGATGTTCAGCGAATCGCATTCTAAACTTGTAAAAAGTCATCATTCTGTATTTGTGGAGTTTTTTAAAAGATTTTATTTATTTATTCATGAGAGACACAGAGAGAGAGGCAGAGGGAGAAGCAGGCTCCATGTGGAGAACTTGATGCGGAACTCTATACTAGGACCCTGGAATCATGGCCTGAGCCAAAGGCAGATGCTCAGTCACTTAGCCACCCAGGCATTCCATCATTCTGTATTTGCTGTACTCCACCTATCCATAAGCACTTCAGTGGCTTTCCCTAGATATTCAGAAGTTTTTCTTCTCAGTGCCTTCATTCTGGACCCTTGCTCTCAGTGCTTGGTTCTTTGTGTTGTCTCTGTGTAGCTCTTAGCATTTCCTTCAGTCCTTTCCAAAGGGGTCATACTTGTGTCATATTTCCTAAGGTGTAAATTGTGAGTACTGGATCAGACGGGAAAATGGATAATATCACAAAGCTTGTTTAGAAGCTGCAGGTAAAAGGCCTAGATAGGCATGGCCAGGACAAGAGAGAAGCAAGACCTTCAGCCAGCAGGATGCAGTGCAACTGCCCTCTGCAGAGAGGACACAGCTTCCCATAGAAACCCTTTCATCCTCACTCCTGCTTACTTCCCTGAAGGCAAAGAGGACTTGGGCCAGAGCAGGAGCTTTGCTTTAATCAGAGTTCAATATGACCTCATCTCAAGGTCAGAAGAGAAAAAAGGAGGTAGCTATGGCCCTAGGTCCCCAAAGACCTTTCCAGTATTGTATGAACCCATAGGGAAATTCCCATGTTAATTTACCTCTTGTGTTCATGTTTAAGTTTCTTTATTTGAATATATTTTGTCTGGATTTACTATGTCTTTTAGAGATAGATAAAATTGGAATAATTTTACTTACCAGTGATTTCTAATTATTTTTATCATATTAAAACTCTTAGTCATGGACCAGAGGTCTTCTTCAGCTGTATCCTTCTGTATCTGGTGGCGTTATCTCCCACAAGCTTTATACTTCCCAACCCCAGCAAGTGTCTCTTGAGCCATACCATCCCCTATCCCCCAGTCATTTGTCATTATATAGAGGACCCATCACTGTACAGGGACTCCAAAGTAGGAATTTTTATCCAAATGATCACCAACTGCTCTGTGATGTTGGGGTAAGTTTTATAACCTCTCTGGACCTCAGACTGCAAGTCAGTCACATGATCTCTTGATTTTAAGACCCCTTTTAGTAAGGGTTGGAGGGGAAGAAACATCCTTAGAATCTATTTCCTCAAATTATAGATTGTTTTGAGTGGGAAGGGATTTTACAGGTCATTTAATATAACTGTCTAATGAGGAAATTTAGTTCCTCAAGATGAGAGGATTGCCCAAGGTCCTGCATGTAGTTGAAGGAAGAGCCAGGTTTTCCTGACTACCAAACCAGTCCTTTCTATATTATACACAACTGACTTCCACCCCTACCCTCTTTAAAATTCTGCTAACCTAACCCAGCCAATAAGTAACCTAATAACCCCTATCTCTCACCCTTCTCACCTCTTTGTATGTGTTTTTATCACTTCTGATTATAATAATAGTAACTAACACTTTTCAAACATTCAATTCTAGTTTCTGTGCTAACCATTTTACATTTAGTATCGCATTTAATCCTCACAGTGGACTTAACAGAGTCTGTTCTACAGTCATCCAAGTTTACAGATGGAATAGCTGAGGCTTAAAGGGGTTTACATAATTTGCCCAGTCACAACTAGTAGCTCTCAGAATTAGATTTCTAACTCATCTGACTTCCACACATCCACAGCACATTTCTGCCTGTGAATATAGTCACTCGTCCATTCATTATTGCTCCCTGAGTTACCTGCTTGTACCCAGCACCATTCTAGACAGTATGTGAAATAAAAAGAAACAGAAGTCCCTGTTTTAACTAGAGGTGCAAAAAATCTATAAACATGAAACAACTATAGTGCAATTCAAGGCAACATGTATGTTACAAGAATTCCAAATCATTATTTTTTATGTCAATAGACTAAAAACTTTCCAAAGGCAGAGTTCAGTCCATGGTTTCTAGAATACAGTGGACTCCAGATAGATAATAGAAATAATCTCCTGTCAGACAAAAAGATAGTTGGAGTTGAGAAAGTAGGTTTATGCTGAGAGTCAAGCTAAAGTCATAAATTTATTTTAAAAAAATTTTAATTGAAGTTTGATTTGCCAACATATAGTATAACACCCAGTCAAAAATTTATATCAAATTTGCAGGTCCCACTAAGATAATGTTAACTGTCAGCAACAAGAAGAGTTGAGTATTTACTATATGCTAGGTGCAATGAGGGACACCTGGAAGAATCAGAGACAAGGAAGACAACCAGGACATTCAGACCCATCAGAGGTAAGGCTGGTTTGGGATCCATACAGTGCCTTATTGCTGATGTGATTGGAAGGCACTGGGCTTTAGCATCTTGGGAAAAGAGAATTCTCTTCCAATGGGAGGTGGAAAATGACAAACTTGGATGTTGGGGTAGTTTAAAAGAGGAGAGGAAGTTTGGAGTTTAAGTAGGAACTTAGAAAGTAGACCAGTGGTCTTCGAGCCTTCTCACCACCCTCCACATCAAGGGGCAGACTCCCTCAAGATGAGATTTTGATTTGTTTTTATTGTACTGCTTTTGCTAGACTGACTCACTCTTGAGGTTGCTACACATTTATGAGTGAATAGTCTAACTATTTATATATCTTTGCTAGACTTCAGAATTATCGAGTTGACTTCAAATCTTAAAAACAATAAATTTAAAATCAGTTTGGTCTGTGAACCAACTTAGTTTGATCTGAGATACTCAAGCCTGAAGGTTGGAGACTCCTGGAAGTTTGAATTATGATGTGAACATACTAATGTCATTAACAGTGGAATCATTTCTTTCAAAAATGACATTGGGTAATGGCTTACTCTCTACCAGAACTCTGTATCTTTCTATCTGGAGTTTTATGATGTAGTAAAATAACAATAACAGGATTTCCTGGGGAGAGGTAGAATCTATTCTGTTTAGGCAATTAGCTTTCCTAGCTCTTTAGACAATAGCTTTAATATAGGAAAATATGCCAACTGGCCTTGAGACAATGAAAATGAATGGCCTCCCAAGGTTCTCCCCAGGCTCAGCATTCTGAGATACTTCACATGGATACTAATTCCCTTCTCATTGTTTTCATTTGTGCGGTGCATTTCGGTGGGCACTGGGGCTATAAAAGTCATAGTCCTTTTGTGTAAGTATTGAAATTGAACAGGCTTTTACAGTATGGCAGGCCCTGGAGGGCCATCTTCACAGAGGTTCCAGCTCTACTGACAGGCTGCCTTTCTACAAGAGTCTGCTATGTCTAGTTTTCTAAATTGTAAATGCAGATTTTTTCACCTTTGAAGGCAGTGTGTTGGTAGTTCTGCAGTATACAATGATCTAATACCCAGAGAGTCTGTTACCATGCAACAAAAGCTAGGGTCAATTATGAACCCCATCAGTGACCCACAGCATCCCTCATGTCTTTCACGACAGTCTATTTTGAAGAGCAGACACTTTAACATTTTTAAAGGGAACCAGAATTATCATTCAAATGATAAACTGCTACACAGACAGACATTCTCTTGTGATTCGTAGAAGTGCAGGTCATAAGAGGTTATGTATTTGGTCTCAGTGTTTATTAAAGAAAGTGAAGACAAATAGATAAGACAACAAACATTGCATATCATAGATGCCAAGCTCAATAGAATGATGTTCCAATATTAATATGTGGGCTATATGACCCCACTGGGCAAAAACATGTTTTATTCAGGAAAATAACAAATCAAGTAATCTCTCTATAGAAAGCCATTTACAACTCATTTGGAAATTGAATTCATAATATTTAATAAAGCCTGTTTATACCAACCATGAAGGAGTTTCAAATAAATAAAACTGAAAGCAATGATAAATTAGCTTCCAAGCCTTTATATGTTTATTACATTGTAATCATTCAAACCCACTGAAGTCAAATTTGTTTTTCCAATTTCCTAAATTCAATCCAATGAGCTCCTGGTTCTTACACAAAACCAATTCATATTGTCAAGTGACAGCAAGGAAAATTAATATTATGTTGGTTCTTACTGTCCAAAGGGACTTTACTAAGTGTAAGTAATAATATAGGCTCTTACCAGCTAAAAGTCTATTATTTAAGGTAAATTTTAGCCACATGCTCTGATACTCTTAAAAGGGCAATGAAATGAAAAGTCAACCCCGGGGATTATGTCATATCCAGCATGTTAAAACGGATCCCTAGAGCTTTGGTCAGAAAATAAAGAGCTATGCTTGAATTTTATTGAAAAATCGTGATGACAAAGCCCTTTCCATTTGAAACTCAGAGTTTATCAACATCATCGAATCAGTGGCTGGAAATGAATGGAGAGGTGGTCTCATTTTGTTCTCTCCTTGGCACCCAGCTTTAGGTAATAGTCACATCACTAGTTACAAATCAGGTTAGGAGACTCTGCTCAGAAAATTCCCTAGGATGACAGGGTTCCTCCTCATCAGAGGCCCAGGCTGAGCTGAAGCTTCCCCACTGCTGCCCACTGCAGACCTACTTCTCACAGATCCACTGTGTCTAGGACAGATTCTGTTTAATCCAGGCACTTCACTCATTCCACTCTGCGTTTGTTTTCAGTTGAGGAAAGGGATGATTCCTCATGGGAGAATGTGAGAAGAAAGGTAAACAGTGCACGTGAACGGCCTAGAGCTGCCTAGAGCGTTCTCTCCTGCCCATTCACAGGGCAAATATTTACCGAGCCTGGATTCTGCGCATAGCATCATACACAACTGGTAATGGCTTTGCAAGCCTCAGAGTGAGGACTCTGGAGGCCTCTCACTTCACCTGGTTGGCCAGGATGGGGAATGGGGAGAAAGAATTTCAGAGGCAGCAGACCTGGTTTGAATGACCTGGCACCGCATCACAGCTGTTGCCCCCATGAGTCACTACCTCTATGAGCTTCAGTTTCCTCATCATACAGTAGAGGATTAGAGCACATACCCTGGAGGGTGATGTGAGAGTGAGACCCAGTGTACATCAGGTGGTGGGCACTGCCCAAACATTCTTGCCACCATCCTGCCTTCATGCCCCCTCCCTTCTGAACCCCGCATTGGATAGGATGTTCTGTATCCAGTTATGCAGGCCTTCCACTCTCCTTCCTGAGGCTTGTCTTATTTTATGTCAAAGTTGTACAGTCTTTGAGGGGAGGAGCTGTATCTTGCCCAGCTCTGATGCTCCCCAGGACCAGCCCCAGCTTCACTGTGGGCTCCTGAATAACACACAGACTGTCTGCTCAGAAGCCAGACTGCTTCCCCCACCCGCCTCTTTCTCTTCTTTGCTGCAGTCAGGCCTGCAGCCAGAAAAAGCCCAGGATCTCCCCCATCATTTCCTGCAGCCTCCACACTCCTGAGCAGCAGTAGAGAGGAGAAGACGGGGAGCTGCTCCAGACCAGTGCTGTGACACAGGGTCCCTCCCCAACCTCCTGAGCTGAACCCAGCCCACATTCTTTTAGGGGAGACCTAAGGGGAACGAAGGAGGACGAGGAGGAGGACCACATATCCACAGTGTTCACAGAGCTCCCAGGCACTCCTCAGCCTGTCCCCTCCCACAGCATTAAATTCATAGCACCCCTCCTCCTCGTGGGTGAGATTAGAGGAATGAACTACCTTTACTGAGCATTACAGTGGCCCAGAACTTACCTAATTAACAAAGTCGGCTCAGTTCTTCCTCAGAACATGGACATCTTATTAGCCCCATTTTAGAAATGAAGAGACTGAGGATAAGAGAGGTTAGTTTGGTCCCCCAAGTCTTAGCCAGAAAGTGCTTGGGCCAGGATTTGAGGGCCCCAGGCTGTCTGACTCCAGGCTCACTCCCCCCTCAGCTTCAGCAGGCTGCTTTGCTGGCAGGTGGCAGGGAGGGAGCTGACTCATGGCATTTGATTCATTCGGTCCTCTTTTCTGCATTAGCATTGCTGCAGCCTAATGAACAAATGTTGCATTATGCATTTCTCACTTTGCAAATATCCACATGAGGCTGCTTGCCTGCAAGCCCAGAGTCACATTTCCAGGTGACATATTGACAAGCTAGCTTATAGGTAAGTTAAAAAGAATGCTAGAGTCTTTAGAGATCATCTAAACTAATTCTTAAGCTGGAGTTCAAGGGAGAACCTCAAGAAGTCTGTAAGACTCTGAATTTACATACATTTTCCTAGGCCAAGGGTCTATAACTCTGACCAGATTCTCAAACAGGTTCTAAGTCTCGAAAGGTTAAGGTTAAGAACTGTACACAGCCTGGCCAAACCAAACCTCACATTCCCAGGCTTGTTCCTGCCATTGCTCTGTGAGGCAGCACAATTTGTGAGAGAGAAAACCCAGAACTAAATACCAGAAGCAGAATCTGAGCTCTGAATCTTCTGGCAAACATTTTAAAGACTCATGAATTATTAAAATAGCTAATTAAGTCAACCTTCACCAGAGAATATTTGCTTTTCCATCAAAACAGAGCTCACTGTGAAACCTGACTTCACTCCGTCATTTGCTTAAACATAAGGTCAGCTCCCTTTATTCTGTCTTTGCTGGTCTAGGAAGAACTTTCCGTGGCCTGGCATGTTAAGTAGTAGCAGCCACTTTGTGTACCTCAGTGTACACAGCTGGGAGGCTTGAACCCATTTTCTCTTCTTTCCTCTGGGATCCTCTCCTCCATCGTCCGCATCAACCATGCCTATTCCTACATCTTCCCCTCATACCAGGATGGTGCTGCCCCTAGAACACTGTGAGTGAGTGACCTAGAACTAGAAATATACAAGAATCATCAAGTCAAGGTCCATTGTAAGATTGCACTAGCCTCCCTACATTTTGGAGCACATTTACCAAGTATCCCCTTCCCTCCCCTCCAGACTTAAATGCTACTTTCAGGATCCCTCTCCAATTCCACATCCTTTGTGGAACCTTGTTATTTTATCTATGTCAGTTTCATCTATTTCCAACTAGATAATAAGCTCCTTGAGGGTAGAAACAACTTCTTTCTTTTCTTTTCTTTTCTTTCTTTTCTTTTCTTTTCTTTTCTTTTCTTTTCTTTTCTTTTCTTTCTTTCTTTCTTCTTTCTTCTTCTTCCTTCTTCTTTTCTTCTTTCTTCTTCTTTTCTTCTTCTTTCTTCTTCTTCTTCTTCTTCTTCTTCTTCTTCTTCTTCTTCTTCTTCTCCTCCTCCTCCTCCTCCTCCTCCTCCTCCTCCTCCTCCTCCTCCTCCTCCATGCGTTGATTGATGAGAAACACAGAGAGAGGCAGAGACAGGCAGAGGGAGAAGCAGGTTCCCTGCAAAGAGCCTTGATGCAGGACTCAATCCCAGGAC